TATTTATACAGAAACTTCACTGTAACTATCGTGCAATAAGTAGAAAGGCTATTTAAGCCTTTTTATATTGAACAGTATTATATATTGAGTTTACTTTCAATAAATTATTAAAATGCATTTTTAATTGTATCAATTCAGTGTTGAATTGTGTCCAACAAACTGTACGAATGATGGATTGTTCACTTTACAAAGTTGCACTTTTCCATTCCACTTTAGTAGTCGTATCAATTGATTACTTGATTTATAAATAAAGAACAGAAATATTATTAATATATTAAAATATTTAATCATAACAATATATATCAATATGGTATCGTATGAACGAAAAAGACGGAATGAATATACATTGGTAGCAAAAATTTAAGCATTCTTTTGTAAGTAGATGTTTTTTAATTAACATATGCTACATATGTAACAATTAATTTATAATTAATTATTAATCATGATGTAACAATTAAAACATCATGGCATATTATTATAAAATTTATCCTTTTATTTAGTTACTTGGAAAACGGAAAAATATACTAACGTCATAGTGATGTCAGTCTGTGACCACTGGCCGATTTGTGTTATATGTAACGAGGTAAACGATGTTAAAAATATATTACAAAAGAACAATTAAATTGACAGAGAAATTAAATATACTGTTAGATGAACTACGAAATAATAAAAAACTTATTTAGGAAGATTATATAGGTGATAGATAAGAATAAAGTTTTCTTTGAGAATATAGGGTGCGAGAAATTTTGAAATGAAAGTGTTATTGTGAGTCTGTCTGAGATTTTGTGTGAGTCTTCAGAGATTAATGATTACTAAGTAGGTACTTGGTAATATTCTATCTTTATAATCAATGGGCATCATATCAATACAAGAAACCCAAACATCGTCTTATATTGTCCAAAAATCTTTTAGAGGAACATTGTTTGTCTTTCAAAAATCGGTAAAATAAAGGATAGGTTACACAAACAAGGGAAATAGTAATATTATTTCCTTATTGTCATTACCCAGGAAAGAATTATTTGAAATACGTGTATATAGATACATAATACTCGAGGAATTTTCATTACAGACCTTTGAAAAACTATTGATGTTTAAGTGAAACTAATATTATTCAGATTATTACGCGTATTCATTATGTTAAAACTATATAAGAACAGGAACAACTGACAGACATTCACATCTCGTCTGCCCGTGATCACGGCTGCTGAAAACTAGATAACCGATTCGTCGGGAGTATGTAGTTTTATAACATTAAATCACTCGTTGCAATCAGAATAATATTTATTTCATTTAAATGAATACTCGTTAAAGTCTTAGATCGCATTATTGATGTTATCACCTTACCCTGAAGCCACGCTGAAAGTTTAATATTACTATACTGGACTCAATCCTCGTTTTATCTTTAACAAAACAATTATAAAAATGATTATGTATTATTTTAATTGCTCGACTGCCTTAGAATGGTCAACGAGATGCCAGATGAAAGTATTATATTACTAGATATTAATATAATATAATATATAGTCAATAATGTGTGTTATTTATAAGTCAATGAAATTATAAATATATAATAATAGATATTCTACAGATGAAGATTATACCTATTAATGATCTAAGATTTTTGCTTATACAAAAATAAATAAAGAAAAATTTCTCATCATTCCACATATTCACCGTGAGGGTGCCGGGTCCATCGTTGGAGGGAGAGGGGCCTCAACAGTGCCTGGGACTTGCGACCCAGGTGACACGGGACTAATCTTTATATGGGTTGATTTTGTTTAAGTTTTCTTATTATTTTTAGTTTAAAAAATTATAAGAGAAAAGTAAATTGTTTTAATGAATTACATACTTAACTTGAAATTTTCTAATAGGATTCTGTTTCAGTTCAGATATTAATCACTCTCATTGAGATAAATAATTTTATGACATTCAAGAAGTTCAAGAACTCTTAATATGAATGGGTTCAATACCTACTATGATAAAAAAAATAGGTATTTTTATTCATTTTCTTCAATCATTTAAACTTAGGTTAACATTTTAGGTAATTCCAAGAACTTGAAAAACACAATTCATCAACAAAGGGTCAAGTCCAGCTGCTTCATCTACTTTAAAACTTCAGCTTTTCATTTTAAACATTTCTTATTTTACGTTATATTCAAATATAAATCAAAATTAAACTATTTTTTTTGTTTATTTAATATCAGACATGTAACAGAAATTTAAAGAAACTTTTTATACTGAATTTCGTCAAGCCGTTAGGTTTCTCCTGTGAGCCAAAGAGTTATATATACATTAAAATCACATAAGCATCCTTCGGGTGTAGACTTGTAAAAAGTATTGGGTTTTATAAATTATTATCATATCTATAGGCTGTCACCATAGAAAAGAAAACACTTCCAAGAAGATCTAACATTGTGCGCGAATGAAGAGTAAATGAAGGTCAAAAAAAACGAAGGTCATTCGATAAGAAGATATGACGAAGTAAACATTACTAAGTGTAACAGAATTATTACGTCATAGTAAAGCGTCGTGACGTCACTCACAGTACAACACCCTACACTTAATGTTAGTGTATTACATGGCTAATATTTTTTAATAAAGAAACACTTAAGAGTGTTTAATATTAACATCACACACGGCGTGATACCTTGAAGTGTTTTAAATTTAAATATAAAAAGGCTATTGGGGATTACGAGTTGCAATCTACACGTACATATAACTTTTTGTTTTAATCATTAAAATAATAATTAATCAGTCTTAAATTAAAACTGTTTTATAATAACAAGACTCTATGTAGATAAATGTTAACAGTAAAATAAAACCTTTCATGTAAACATTACATAATTAAGGCACAATATAAATCATCATCATCAGCCTATCAGAGCTCATTGCTGATCGAAGACCTCTTCTCACATGGAGAAGATTTGAGCATTAATCACCACGCCCGCTCAAGACGGGTTGGTGATTTCAAACTTATAATTGAAAATCATAAGTCCAGGTTTCCTCACGATGTTTTCCTTTCCGTCTGTCAGTGGTATCTAAATACACTTAGAAAGTACATATAACTCGGAAATATCACACAGGTTTCGAACCCTCGCCTTCATGCGTGAGAGGCGGGCTTTTAAAAATTAGGCCATTACGACTTACAATATAAATATTTAAAGCAAATCCCATAGGTATAAAAGTAAAAGAGAAGTTATTGTTTCTGTTCTGATAGATGAATGTGGATGTTCCTATATGAATCTCTAGCAGGTAAAATCAGTACTGACACGTTTGATGTGGTGCTAGCTATTTTCTAAGTGTATTTTTATAGTACTATTCTGTTGTTGAGTGTATCCTCAGTCACTCTGACAGATGAGCCTAAAATAAATGCGAATGCTCTCCGGTGAGGGAGGGAGGGGAAGGAAGAAGGACGGGGGGGAGGAAAGATAACTCACAACTTCTTGTAATAAAAAATTACATAATATAATATTATAAAGAATCCCTAAGAATCCGTTGTGACATTTATAAAGCAACTTTTTTTAAACTCTTTCCTGTATTCTTTTGTGTTACTAAAATAACATAAAGTTATGAATTCTAAACTAATGCGTATTAAAACTTTAAGGCGCATTTGATTTTCAAGGTCAAATAAATAAATTATGTATTTAATAAGAAGATATTCTTATACAGAAAAATATAGCATTCTCGTAAAAAAATTGCTTTGAATTAATTTTATTGTCCTATATGACATTTTAATACACTCTATTTAAAATTACATTTATCCTCTGCAATAATACATTGAAATCGGAAATAAACTATTGTTTAAAGTAATAACGATCAGTATGAGTTATATGAAAATAATACCTTTAAATTTAACAGTGATGAAGAAAAACACCAATGTTTGCATATATGTATTTCTTAAAGACTTATATAAAAGGCTATCTGACCAAATTATATTGAAGCCATAATATTCTTATTGCATTGAAAACGTCAAAAGCTATGAAACATTGAAAAGAGTAATAGTTTGATTTACATGAAAATATATGAAAAATATATTAAATTAGGAACATACACACTAGCATTACTTTGACACACACATATATGTATGTCAATCCGTAAAGATTCCTCAATGTGTGTGTTTGTGTTGTCACTAATTGTCAAACATAATGGGCATTTCTATTCTACTGTTTAACTTAGAATAAACAAATAATTAAAGTCGAGTATCAAATGACGGATGATATATTTAAATTATAAGTAATTCATTTAAAACAATTTATAAATTTTCTGTTTTTCTTTTTATTCTATCTACCTATCCCACTTATTAACAAAATATGTTATTTCGTTTTTTCTACACGAACCTAAGCATAGAATTATACTTTTATCAGTTTTACAAATTTCAATTGTTTACAAAAGTTTTCATGGTTTTATGATAAGTATAACTTTAATGTTCTCATTTATCAAACGATAAAACTTTTCTTAACTTTATTATTTTTTTAAAAACTATTTTGCCGAAGATAAATTATTTAAATATTTTTTTATTATTTATATATTTAAATTTTATTGTCATTTTTTTGATCGATTTAAAGAATAATTAATTTTTAATTTATATGTTACATATTGAAGTAATTGCCTATCAAATTGATTCAATGAAGAGATTTATTATTTTGTTAATACGATTGGGCAGCGAAAGGTTGCCGCTTTTACATGACTTTACTATAACGTACGTAGCATGAAAGAGTATATAATATATTTATTTGACATGATAGATATGTTTCTTCGGGCTGAAGACAAGAACGTCCCGATCAGCGAATAATGTGGATCAATAAATATATGATATCTGTGTAACATGGTCGCGATGTGGTGCGCTTACAAACATAAACAACGTAGTAGAAGGAGGCCGGCGGCGGCGCGGGGAGCAGAGGCGATGTAAACAAACAAGGTGGATATCGCGGTATGAATAACGAGCCCGCCGCGCCCGCCGCTCATTCCGCCGCGAACTGCCGTCCGAGGTGCACGCAGCCATGATCGACTACGCGCGCCCCTACGAGATGAACATGTGCGATCTGTACCCCCCCACGCCGCCCACCTCCGCTCGCCTGGACGACTTCCAGGTCTTCAAGAAGGGCAACGCCTCCTACATCTACGGGAACTACTACAACAACTACGATGTGTATCCCGAACCCGAGATGGACACCACGGCGAACGTCTACCACAACCTGGTCAGCTCCCGCGAGTACCGGCATGAGGACTGGAAGTCTAAAGTCATCGTGGACTGGACAGATGATGACACAGTATCCTGGCTCATAGAGTGCGCCGTCTCACAGGGCTTCTGCGAGTTTGACGTCCCGTTCTATAATTTCAAAGTTTGCGGAGTGGAACTCTCTAATATGAGACGTGAAGAAGTTATCCAAAGAATGGCACATCCAAACGTCGATCAGAATATATCGAAGAAGATAGGAGAAATCGTCTACGATAGACTGCAGGCCCGTCTCAGTGAAGAGATCCACAGACAGAGTTCAGTATTCAGATACGCGGAGAGTGATCCATACACACAGCAGGAAACAGTGCCGTCAGTGTTAGATCTGGATAAACATAGGTTATATACGTCGGACTATAAGCCGAACGACAGCAGTCTGTTGCCGGCATCTGATTCCAGTGATGACGCGGAGGATGTATTCCGTACCTCAGCGCCGGCATCTCCCTTCTCCTACGGAAGTGATAGTAAGTCAGGAGACGAAGAAGAGAAGAGAAAAATTCCCAAAAGACTCCCAGGGAGGCCGAAGGGAAGCGGCAAGAACAGATTCAAGAGACCCAGGAGTGTGTCCGTTCCAGAGTTTCTGAGGAACCTGTTGTTCGATGAAAGATACTGTCCATCTATCATCAAATGGGAAGACTACTCCCAGGGCAAGTTTAGGTAAGTCATCCCACTTCGATAAATGTTAATATTTCTAAATAGTAATTAGTTATATGTCGTGACTCGGAGATTTGTTGTCGGTCGCATCTCGTACGTACATTGTCTCATAAATAATTTATGTCGGTCGAGGCACGTGGACTTAGTCGTACCTATAAACCGATTTACACTTAAGTTTCTAAGGCTTGTTAATAGCTATTGATAATTATGTTGCGAAGGTTTACTTGACTCGGTTTGCAAACTTACATATGGCCACATTATATCATTCAATGTTGTTTTTAACGTGAATCTTAATATAGGTAATATCCCATGAAATTAGGGCAGCTCTCGACAAAAAATAAATTACACCTGTAATAAACTTTTAATATAACATAAAAAACAATAAAGATATTGTGTATTTGTTTCTAACTGAACATGTATATTGTCTTGATAATTATAAATAATTCTATTTCCGATCACGTATCGAGGAATAAAAAAATCTGAGATGCTGATTTATATTTAATTACAATGATCAGTCTTAATAAGATCGATGCAACTGCGCACTCTCGCACTGTTTATGGTGATTTTAAATCTCATGTGTATACAACAATTAATTATAATAGCAAATAATAACAAATAAACATTACCGAGTGCCTTATTACAACACTTCTTATATATCCTCAATGAAATCACATTTGATTGATGTAATATAAATATATATAAAATACAAACGTGTTATTCAGAGACGAATTAAATATAATAAAATGTAATTAAAATAATGATTCTGTATAAGATTTGAGAATTTGATAAAATTAGTCTTCAAAATGATAAAAAAAAACAGTTGAGAAGTAGAATGTAAACGTCGATTCAAAGGTTTTTGTGGTCGAAACGGGTTTGCATTTTATTAAAGTTCGCATCGTCTTCACAACTGACCTTCGTTAAAGAATCCAAATAAAAACGCACAACAACTCTAAAGTGACTTTGTGCTCCTCGCTAATTTAGTCCTACACTTTAGTGCAATTTAAAATTATTCTTAAACGGCGGCTATATTGAATCTCCTAAAACCATTCGTGGAAACTATCTGTCTTAATGTAGATGTACGATGGTGGTGTCGCGACCAGTGTTGTATGAGGTCATCTAATTATACGTCTCTTGACATATTATGATCTAGTTCAGGAGATATTTCTGTCAATATAAGTGTGTGGTTGGGGTAGGTTACTGTATAGTCGAGGGACTGCCGCTTGTTCCTCAGTCAGAGACAATCATTAAACGCCATGACTTAATACTCTGTTCAAACAATACTCTTTTATTCCTGAACTCGTTTTTAATTATGTTTATTCGTAATGTATATAATTATTCTGTATTAAACATTATATTGTCCACGTATCTTTAAATCTACAATTCATTTAAGGCACATCACATGTTTTTATGAGTCGCCTTCACCTTGCTTGTGAACGCGACCTTGCTTACTTCACACGATCGTTGACTATTAAAATCATCTTTGTATCTTATTTACGAGTCATTAAGTTCTATTTTCCTCTGCTATGATTCATTCTTTATACAGACGCTTGTCAAAAGTTCAGTCATAGACGTCTTTTTAATTGCTAACCTTCTGTGTTACTTAATTTTTCAGTTATCATATATTCTCGTTTTATTAATTATTATTATTGATGCATATATTTCTTGTTCTCTGTATTAAAACGTTCATCTTGATTATGTTCTGTCTTATGTAATGGCTCGTTGTTGTCCATTGTTCGAGCGTCGATTTTGTAGTTCAACTTGTGGGTGTTGGTTTAAAAAAAAATATTTTGATGATATCATTTATAAACTATATAAATCAAACAATCAAACATTATCTTAGCGATAAATATTCATTATACTGAGAAATGAGTATGATTATAATACCTTAAATTATTATTTTTAAATTTTCATTGGTCTCCTGAGTACTGATAGTTTCTAACGTCAGGGTTGAATAGTTTTATATTTTAAGTTATGTATATTATATGTGAATGGTACTTTAAGTGCACCATAAAACAAATATAATGAAGAAACTTTACAAATATATTAATATAAAAAATATAAACACACTGACGGTCGGTTCGTTCTCGCTGAAGGTTGTATTTGTGTGTTTTTTTATACAATTGTCTTTTTGTTTCGACCTTCGTGGATTTTTAATGACTAATGTTGTTGACGATGTATCGTGAAAACGACTGACATACAGCTTCTGGAGACCTTTATAAGAATCAAAATAATATTTAAAAAGACGAAAAGAACAGAAGTCACTAACACCTTGAGAAACGAATCTTCACTATGAAAAGGTGGCTCAAAGTATATTGGTAGTTATATTACGTACACGAAATGGCCAAATAATACGCACACAATGTTCATATTATTGGGAATTTTCATTCGACTCCTTTTTTATATTCTTTCAAAATCAAAACAGAATAATAAGTAAAGAGCATTATCACTTTAATATTTTCATGTATGATATAATGAATCCTTTCGTTTGTTATAACTGTATCCACTGACCAAGTCCCTCTACTATCATCACTCGTTCGTCAGTCTGTACGTCCTACATTGTTCTCGGGTCCTTGCTGAGCTAGTTCGTAGGGCGGCTCCCTGCATCGTATAGATTTTTTCTCGTTTCCACGCAGCCTCAAGGACGCTTCCGCGTTACGTTTCTTCACCAACACGTGGCTGTGATTCCTATACATTTATATATAGCAAATATGATAGGTACTAGTTTTAGCAAAACTATAAATATGTAGATTCAGTAGTATATACACAAATATGAATCCTTCATACTTTCAATACAGTTATTATAGTAGAGTGCAACTGATTATTCGTTACTATCGGTATTATTCATATTTTATCATTTTTTATGGGTTGTTATCAAACAAACTTTTGTATGTACAAATTCGATGAATAGTATTTTCTCGTAAAACTGAAGAGGAGAAAAAAATACAAGAAATTTTCTCTTCCACCGTCGACAAAAATAAACGCGATGGCCCTGCCGTTGTCATGGCAACGCCCGGGAGCTTCTAGACACGTGTCGCAGCTTCCAAATTTTTTTCCGTATTTTTCTCCCTGCGACCCCCTCCCCTTTGTGCGGGCCTTAATTGCGTCTGTGAGAGTGTGGTCCGGGAAAATTAGAACAAGGGTAGATCGAGCACAGAGGGTGCCGCTAATTAGTGATAACATGAAACATTATACGTAGTTTCATAATCACGATAACGGTTCAATTATAATGCTGTTGATATATTGACGGGTGGTTAATAATTAATACATTTACACAGTTCTATAATACCTACATGAAACTCCGCCCGCGTCATCGTCACTCATATCTTGACCGTAAATTTGTCCTCATTATAATATGTATTTAATAATACACTAATTAATTTTAACAACGTCCGTTCGTCTGCTGCGAAGTAATTAACTCCACAGATAAATATTGTACAAAAACAATAGTGTTTACTGTTGTAATAAGTGTTTTCTCTGTGTCGCGCTGCTCTGTGGCAAGCTTGCACCGAAGTCCCTGTAACATTTCTTTTTCGTGAAAATCTATTTATAACTAGGGCAGCCTCGTCTTGTCCCTTCCATTCTATAATGGGCGTTACTCCCCTACAATAAGGTTCAAGTCGTCCGTTGTCCTGTAATGTGCGTAGATGCCAGCTATATATATATTTTTTTCTCATAGTGGCTCTATTATATTGATTAGTAAGACTCCCTCTTCCGGGTCGAGCGTCTTTTGCGAGTTCGGTTCAGTTTCCTTTGTTTTTCGTCGTTTCCTCCCTGTATGTGCGACGAAAAATATTCAAAGAAACGAAGATATTTGGAATATTTGGTATATATAAGTTTACCAAATGTATTAATACATTTTAATTAAATTAAGTACATCAGGTTTAATTTAAAATCGTTACGATTCAGTCATACGAACTTCATTTCTAATAGTATATCTGGCATTAAGATGGAAAACAAATTTTTAAAGTAAAAAACATAACAACCTAGGAGTATTTAGTTTTTATAAGAAGCAATCTGTATATGACACGCAACATACTACCTACACTACTAACATATTGTAATAAGGAGCTTTTGATTACGTATCGGTAGTTTGTGGGTAATATTATTATGCAGTAATTTCTGATTGATAACATAGAAAAAAAAAACAGTTTTCTTTCTTAATATTATTATAAACTAAATTGAGGCGCAGTGAAAACTACAATATTTATTAGATAAACATATGCTAAACAAAATATATATTTATGTATTAAATAATATTTTGAAACGTATCCCATTATCATCGTAAAAAACGGCCATATTTAGAAGGTCTTTGTGAAAATTTTATAAAATATTGCTAAATCTGTGTTGTCATAAGATTAATAATAAATTCCCAGGACACTGAATGTTTGTTTCGTGTGTTCTAGTTCGTTATAATATTAGTCATATTAAAAATATTGTTACGTTGCGTGAAAACCGTTTCGCAGAAGCTTTGAAATAAAGAACAATTTGCTCGCTGGGATTTCCCCGCGGTTGATACACACACACTGATGCAACTATAAACATTATTGACACTCACACACGCACACTAGTATTGCAGCTCGACACACACACACACGCGCGCGCGGACTCGTTATATGCACACACACACACACTACATTAGTTGTCGTGAACCCGTACATAGTCAACTATGCCACAACGAAATGCCACGGGTGACGTCATCACACCAATGTTATCTATCCCTTGTTACTATTGAATGTTCTAAAACTTTAATTTACATTAAAACATAGTATTACTATGTTTGAGTTGTTTAAAGACAGTTCTCGGTAGTACCGCCGTTGATTCCAAACACACACATGTATGCCTTTATTTTGAGAGACAATTAACGCTAATAGTTTTTAAATAGTCTTACAATTAGATAACATCATAAATAATTCATAAGATTCTTCTCATGACACCCGAGTTATTAAATATATTTATTATATTTTTTTGTATTTAAATACCAAGAAATATTTGAGTTTTCCGCG